GTTAAAAATCCAACTGAATGCTTTTCTGTGCAACCTGTTTGTAGGGAACCTGCTTTAGCAGTGGGGGTTGGACTAGATGATCTCCTGAGGTTCCTTCCAACCCCTGTGATTCTGTGATCTGAATCATCTAGGGATATCTTGGAAATGATGAGTAGATGCTGAAAGATAAATGTAATCTAGGATTCTCTAGTGGGAGTTTCCATCTCACACTGTAGTTTAATGAAGATGCCAGTAGCAAATCCTAATATTTTAACTGAAGGCAAGGACACTTATTTTTATACATCACATAGACTCCACTTTATGAGCTGCTGGTTTTCATATATGCAATAAAAAGCCTCTTGGCTAAATACAGACATTGGAATAAAGTGTCAGTTAACAGTAATTTCATCCCTCAAGTGTTTGTGCCCGTATAACCTAATGAAGAAAGATTATTTTAAGATAAGAGGACTGAAAGGAAGAAAAAAAGTAAAAAAGGAGAAAATAAAAAGGACAAAGAAATCACAGTGTTGCACAGAACCAAAACATCCAATTATGCTTTGATCATGGCTTGAATTTTAAATGTTGCTGTCATCATTATTTTATATTGCACAACTTTTTCAGTGATTACTTGATATCTGTGATATATGTCAGATGTACAGAAAAACAATGCATGTTATAGGCAGAAGTAGTAGCTTATCTTGCAGACATAATAAAGCCCATCTCTCAAAAATTATTGAGAAGCCTGTCAACAAAGCAAATCCAGCACGGAGTGGAAATGAGGCATAATGCTTAATTCCTTCAATCAACATTTTCCTGCTTGCCAGGAGCACCTCTCTTGGGTAGGCTGACAAGGTGCAAGCTAATTTACAGATCCAGGAGGAGTCAACTGCATCTGGATAGCACTGCTCCCATGTTAATTAAGACAAGACTGAAAAGTAAAGTTCACTCAGAAATGGTAGTGAGGGAAAAAAATAACTCAAGGAAACGTTGACTGTTATGAAGAACAAACAACAAAGTGATCATCAAATCTTCCTATCAGTCAAATTACTGTTGTTTCCAGATTAAAGGTTTCCACTCTCACACTCGTTTCTATGTACAGCATTCAAAGCCATATGGGAACACCAGACATTAGGCTCTAAAGCTGGAGGGCAGAGAGGAACCAATGAGCCCTGCATAAAGCTGGCTCTCTGGAACATGAAGGCTCCTCTCTTTGGACAGGACCCTCTGCAAGTCAGGCCTTCACCTGCATACCAAAGCTTGCAAAATGAAGCAGCTATCTCACAGAGCCTCTAGGTACCAGGAATATTTACACAGGAGGAAACTGAGGATCAAAGAGCTGCCCAAGCATTTTAGAGGCTGTAAACATTTTGTGACTGAACTCATGAGATAGCACTCATGGTACACAATAAGCTACTTAGAGCCATAGAATTTATCATGTATAATTTACCTCAATTTTACCTGTCATTTCTGCTTTATAAAAATGGCAAAGATTGCAGAAAAGAACCAGTCAGCATTTTGTATCTCTAAACTTCCACCTCCCCCAGTGCGGGGTGCAACTCAGCTTCCAGCTTGAATTTAGGCAGGAAAACACACAGAAGATGAGGGCATCCCTGTGGGACTCACAGGGGAGCAGGGTGAAGCATTCTCATCCTGTCTGACATGTGGGACTATCTCCTGTGACTCTTTTGGTGTTCTGTGGCATATGCTGTCTTAAAAACCTGATATTATTTTGTGTTTTCTAAACGCATTTTCTAACTAATATTTTCTATTTAACTACTTTTTTCCCTCATCGAGTAATATTTTCAAACTAACCAGTTTTTCTACTAACTAATTTTGTAATACGATTCACAGACACACAACAACTCTCAAGAACCTATCCAGTTACAACCTAGGTTCAGTTAATGTGTTACAGGATAAAGAAAGTAATAGGATTAAAGTTAACAGAAGCTCCACTTACATGTTTTCAGAGCAGAATCATTGTTAATAAATCTTTAAAATAATACTGGTATCTCACTTCAAAATTAAATAATGAATCACTGTGTAAACAAAAGAAAACAAACACTGCCTTAATTTTGTTTTTTCTTGGAAATATATTTATTTACTCTAGCTAGCTAAAATAAAGACTTATTTTCTTGTTCTCTCACTCCTTCCCACAAGTGATCAAAGGTGTTTGTCATGTTTCACCATTTACCCAGAACAGCAGGGTGTCCCTCACCAGTCTGCTCCTTTCAGATCACTTATGTCTGCTGGAGAGACAATTCCTTTCAAAAAAACTCAGTGCGTGGTAATAGTCAGGTCTTTCACTGACCCTTTCTCCAGACTGTTGGTTCTCAGAGCACACAACATTATTTAGAACCTGTTTTCCTTGAGAGAAGCATGCTGTTTTTCAATCTCAAACTGATTCATCTCTTTCACATCATGCCTCCATGACACCAAACAGTCTTAGAAGCAAAGCAAAAAAAAACCACGCATTTCTTAACACATAAGCTTTGGGTACACTATTAGGAACAGGAGAGTTTAAGAAAAAAATAAAATTCAACATTGTTTGACCTGTCAAGGGATATGTGCACTACTCAGACATCACCAAAGACTCCTTCCAAGACCAAGCAGTTTGTTGCTTAAAACCAATTTTTCCCTTGCAGCTCCTTCAGCCTGCCAGTCACCTCCTTCTCTTCCATTCCAAGCTGCTTCCCTTTCATGACACCACTCATAGGCTCAAAAATTGAGAGATCAGCCTATATACATCATGTATATATTTGTATAGTAAAACATGGCCTCAGCAAACAGTCACAATATAAATTAATAACTAGAAGATGAAAATTTTTTATAATTCATTCTACATTTGATTGCAAAGCACCTACCTGAACATATCTCCTAAGCCTTTCAGCATTCCTTTCTTTGCCTTAATTTTATCCTTTTCTTTATCTCGATCTTTCTTCTTTTCCTTTCCAGCCTTTTTTCTGTCGCCTTTATCTTGGCTTCCATTCATCTGTCTCTCCAATGAGTGGGATGGCTGGTCACTTGCTGTGGACACAGATTCTCTACCAGATCTTGAGCTCTCTTCTGTGTCTTCCTCCACTGAAAGCACATATTAAGAAACATCAGTGGGATAAGAACAAACAACAAGGGCAGGCTTTTTCATATACTGCACACTGTATTTTGAAGCAGGATATATGCACAACTACAAAATGCTCATATTGTTTTTCAAAATCACTATCTCTTCATGTGGAGGTTTCTTGGAATGTTCATTTGTACTATTAAACTCCTAAAAGCAATGAATTCACCTTTGCAGAACGCTCTGCAAAACACTATTCGTGCTTTGTGGGTACTCTAACTAATGTACGGATTAATAAAGAGGATTAGCAAAGTGATGTTAATTGGCCCATTTTGTTTCAGTATCCAAATGACTTGAGGAGAGCTTTAGAAATATCTGCAGGAAGAAACAACAGCAGTGCAGCATGCTCTATCAGTAAATTCATAGTGATACTCTCATAAAACCAGGAAAGTCATTAAGGATTGTTAACCTTCAATACAAGCCTTAACAGACTTTTTCTTCTGCTTCAAGTAACATAATGGTTTTGTCACACTACTTCATTTCCTGGAGCAGTTTAAAACACATCATGCACCTTATTTTTGTTCTTGGTTGAGATGAGGCAGCCTGGGAAGTCTGGGTGGGAAGATTCCATTCAATGGAACAAGTAAAATCTTTTAAGGGCATATAATATGTTCTTTCTCTGTTTTTAAACCAAGACCAATACTCCAAGAATCCTAAAGTATACCAAGGGTTAGATTTAACAGAGCACACGTACTTCTGAAAGTTTGAAAGAAAAATGACCAAAAGAAACAATCCATTCAAAAGCTGAAAACTCCCCCAGTAGCTCAGTGAGAAAGAAATCAAACACTTCAAGCTCATGGGTCAGAATCCTGCAACCATTTTGACTTAACTTACAGCCAAGTCAAAAAATTACACTGCACGGCTGGTGAAGCTGTGACCTTCCAGGAGCTCTAAAATTTCATAGCATCACATCAAGTAAGGCTACATCATCTCCCAGTTTTCCAACAGACAGCATGATGCAGCAGTTAGATCACAGATGCATACTTTGTGCTGTCTCCTGTAGCTCTAATCAATACAAAGGCTCCAAACAACTTCTGGCAGTTCAAAACTACAGTTTTTGAATATACATAACCTATGGAAAAGATTTATTTATTTATTTATTTTACTCAATAAGATTTGGAAATGGCCATGGCTTATAGAAGGAAAAAAAGAGTAATTTTTTAGTTTAGCGTATGTTTACTACTTTTTATTATTCTTACTAATATTATCGTTTCTAGACCTCAGCCTCTCTTCTACAGCCAATAGAAGTGTGTAATTCTTTAGAAATTTCTCACACATAGACTACTGTAGAATATAAAATTGCTTTTCTTAGTCATAAACATATTCACCTTACAAGTAATTCATGGAATATAAAAAGTCTACAAATTACTGACTGAAAGCCATTCGATATTGTCTCTTCTCTCTCTCAGACACTTGCCTGCAAAAAACTGTTTATTCATTAATATTACAATACACAGACCTGTTCAACAGACTTAGAACTTATACACTGAGTATCGCAAGATTTCTATAAATATTCTCCAACCCTGGGAGATCACATAAACATATTTCAAGAAAAAAATACCATGTCAGATAAATCTCAACATTAATAACTATTTTTGAATCTCAACTAGTGCTCTGAAGTACAAACCACCAGGAAAAAAAAAGGAAAAATACAGAAAGGCAGGTATTGGCATTTCACGTTAACTTGTCTTCAGGACCGCTATGAGCTAAGCAGATGACACAGCTTCTCAACTGTAGGCACAATTTTAATATTCAGATAATTGTATTTTAGAAAATTAATACGCCTTTCCTTATGTGCTCTGCACTAACTGTACTTGTACTTTTTTTAGTCACAATGTTTCTTAATCAATGTCTGGGATGATATTTAGTTATTAAAAGAGTAGTAGAAAAACACATTGGAATAGAGATGCTAATTTTTTGCATGTCAATTTATAGCTACAATCTGTTCCAGTTTAAACTAACTAGACATTTAAAAGATTGTACTTGAAAATGAATATAATTAGTAAAAAAAAAAAATGCATTAAATTTCTGACAAATTCTGAAGTCAAATGTTTACTTGGTAGTTCATTGCTAGACTTTTAAAGATGAATCAGTTTTGACCTGTGGTTGTTCATATACACATAACAATACATTAAATTAATCCTAAATATGTATTAAGTGTACTGTGCTATGCTGAGTTGCTGAACAACTTGTCATAACAATGCCTCCTCTTATTATTTATTTTGCATATTCTGTGGAGATAATATTGCCTCATTTCCACACTTGTGCTGCAATAAATATTTGTCTATCATACACAGTTTGCTTGCAATTAACTTGGTAGCTTAGACTGAGCCCTAGGGTGTTTGTTCTCTTGGAGTAAACATTGGTGTCTCCACTGGAGTAAAAAGATTTTGAGTTTTCTTAAAAGGACTCAACATGAAGAAACTCATTTCACTTTTATGCAGCACAGTCATTCTGCAATTAACATACACCTAATTACTAGTGTTTAGAACAAATGCAAATGCTGCTCAATTAAAATTCAAGCCCAGACTACAAATGAAACTTCTAATTTTTGTTAAGTTGCAGTAACGACATTAGGTTACTGCAAAATGCAGAATGTATTTGTTTTAGTGGTGTTATTTCCTTCCTTTCCAGCAACCCTCCCATTCAGGATGCTGAAGCCAAAAAATTAAATTGGAGTATACTTTGAACATCAATTAAACCTGAAAACTAGTGTCATTTTATGAACCATACTGTACTATGGAGAACTATACAAACAGGTATTATGAAACTGTTTTCCTAATTAGGTCATAAAATGGAAAAGATGCACATGAGGAATCAAAGCTACTTAATGTGAAGCTATTTTGCCACTAAGCTTCTAGACCTCGTATTGTGATATTTAATACAGCCCTAGATTCTAGCAATTAAGATTCAGCAAAAGATTAGAAAGCTTTGTCGATCCCTCCCAATCCAAATGCTTTGTTCTCAGTCAAGATGCTAAAGATAAACATTTTGCTTCTAGTCAGCTATTTCAAATATTAAGTAAAAAAAATAAAGCAGGAAAATTGATCTGTAAAAGCTGAACACCCACACCTTTCCACAAATGTTACTTCTTTACAGCCGTTAAAACTCATGCAGCTTCTCAAATACTTTTAAAAATGTTACCCCAGAACTGGTTACTGCTCTCTGATTTTCATCCTACATTTATTTAGTAATTTAATGGCATATTGTTCCAAGGATAGCACATACGTTAAGAAGAATCAGTCCCTTTGCCACGTACGCTACCTCTATTTTTATAGCTTTTGTATATGGGGTGATGATATGTTAACAATCCCTCTATACAATATATTGCAGTGCTACTATTTGCTACTCCAAATAAGAGTCACTGTCTGGAAGAAAGAAGCACTCTTAGCACTGGAACACTTGGAGCAGAAAGGGGAAAAAAATTCAAGACAAATGGGCAACCTCAAGGGCATCAGGAAACTGACCACCAACAGGTTTGTCTGGGTTTTATAATGAGAGAAAGCCGCATTTTCATTTTAAACAATTATAGAATAATTAAATACAATTTAAAAAAACTTAGGCAATGCCATTATGGCAGCAGTGAGGCAATAGTTATGTTAGGACCAGGTTGTTAAATTAATTTCTGCATATTCGTATGTGCCCAGGCTTTGTCCAGCTGTAGACAATATTTGGTAAATTCTCTGGAACCTGAGGCCACATGTAATTTACACAAAGTGGAGAAGACTACAGTGCTTTCCGTTTTAACACAGACATGTTTTCAGAAAGACAGACCTGAGGACCTAGCATTTTGTGATGCTCCCAGGCAACATATGGCTGGGCCAGCCCTTAAGCTCCTATGGCCACTGTGAGAAGGAGAAGACCTCAAGGACTGAGTTCTGTCCAATCAACTAACTATGTTTGCTTTGCTACTTATTTACTTCTATTAATCTGGCACTGCAGATTTCTGGATTACTTCTTAGATGTTTTATTGTAATATATGGAAGCTATTAAAACACATGTAACTCAACAGAACATGCAGTTCTATGCACGTAGCTTGGTCACACTTTGCTCAGCCTTTCTCTGCCCTTTGAGATTTGAGAACAGCCTCACTCTTGCTCTCCCATGACACTGAGAAGGCTTTTGGTCCACTAGTGCAAGATGACTTCATCCATATGGAGAGATGAGGGTAAAGACTCACCCCATGGCCTTGTGATATCAGCAAGAATGCTTTATCTGGTTTCCGCTACTCCCATCCAAAAGATACAAAGGCCACCAAATACTTCCTTGCTACTCTCTATGCATTGCATCAACAAGCTCAAAACCCCTTACAGTAATCTCATAAACCTGTACTCACCTAGAAAGCGTTTCACGACAACACTTTTGCTATATTTTTGACAAAATGAAGTTAAACCATTTGTAACTTCAGGATAAGCCTTGGGTATCTGATGCCTCAAAACAGGCTATTACTATCAGTGGGCTCACAGCAAACAAGACCTTTTAGAATAACATGGTCTTATGTCCCAAAAGACCATAGGTCTGCAGTCTGGGAGAATGATCCCATTTTCTCATACCTATTCTTCTACTGGCCAGAAACAGATTGACAGCCAGCAGTACCAGACCAGCACTTAGCCTCATTGCTGCGTGAAATTGCTAGGTGCTGGAAAAGTGAAGCAGAATTAATGCCATCTGTAACTACCTTTGAGAAAAGTGACTGGCAAAATGACCTCTCTTGCAGAACACTTTTAGAAACAGGCAGATTTAAAAAAAAGAAAAAGAGTTTTAAAAAAATGAAAGCGTGATTACACAAGTAGCTTATAAAAGAATATCAGGGAATGATGCTTATGAAATAGACTTTTTGAAATTAAAAAAAATAAATAAAAAGAGCATAGAGTGAAAAATCTCTTTTCAAGCCTTTTCTGTTAGCATTCAGGCTAAATATTTTACTACATTAAATTTCCCACCATCATCTTCATTCATAAACTTCTAACTACCTGCAGGTTGATTAAAAAAATTCTGCTGGTGTGTGACAAGTTGAAAGTAGTACAACATGAAGGTTAAAAATTCAATGATTTTAATACAACCCCTGATTGAGGTAATTTACCATTCATATTATTTTCATTCAGTATGAGTTGTCATTTTACCAGCCCATTCTTACATAGTTCAATAATGATAAGGTTAGCTTTGAAGTGATTCTTTTATGTTAACGACATTCTCCACATGTTGGGTCATACTTTGGGTTAAAGAACTGAAAATGTAAATGAACACCCATTAGGACGGGTAATAGCTGATCATTAACTTTATATTTTATTAGATCTGCCAGCCTTACTCACTCTAATTAAAGGACAGTGATTTCTTTTTTTCCTCCAGACACTACAAATGTGCTCTTTCAAAGTTAGAATGCACATATTTTTGTACCACGAATTCAGTGGTTTTTGTACTTCTGATTTTTTTTTCTCATTTTCATTAGTAAATTAATTATCTGTCTTACAGAAAATTTTCATAGTAATTTAAGTATACACACTCCTAATAATTTTATTTCCTTATTTTAGAAAGAAAGGAAGCTGCAGTGTTGCAATCTGTTAATACATATGAAGGTAAAAAGCCTGAAAAAGACAAGTTAGTTATATTCTTTTAAAATCCTAAAATTATCTTCTACTAATTTTAATAGCTTTCTAAAGGAATTAACCTACATTGTTAACATTCTTTGTGTACAGCAGTAGTTTACTTACAAGTTTCCATGCCTTCATCATCATCATCTGCTACAGGTTTATCATACGATTTGTCTATGGCGGCTCTGAAGCTCTCATTGCAGCCTCGTCCTCGGATAATTCGTGGGCGTGGGCGGTGGAAGGGAATATCACCATTCAGAGTCACCTCAGCAACGGCTGTCTGCAGACTTTCCAGCGAGCTGGATTTCTTCAGACCTAATGAAGGCCCCACATCTCTGGTTGGGGAACCTTAGGGGTTTAAGGGTTAAAAAAAAAAAAGTAATTAGACTCAGTATTGAGAACTGCATGCTTGATTATGCATATCCATCCTGAAAGTCTTTTGAGACACATTTAACATTATTCACATCATCTCTCAATAATCTGTAGGGAATTCTCCACAGATTTGTTGGTCTCAGAAGTGAATGAGTATGTCAAGTCACAGTCAACGAAACCGACAACATTAGCAATGTCTGGCTTTTCAAATCATTGAAGAGAGACCAACATCCATTACTATGATTTTAACAATTTGAATGATAAAGTAATCATGGGGCTTTAAAAACATAGTTCATAAAAAAACCCCAGCAGAGATACATATCTAACGGCATCAAACAAAACTATTAATTATTTTTGTTTTGAGCAGAATATTTCATCTGTACTAGCAACTGATGAACAGAGAGCGGATTATGGGCATGAATCCTATTGTGTTTAGAGTAACAGTCTTGCAAAGTAGCCTGACTTCTGGCTTCGAAGACATGTTGTTTGCTTTTAATCGAGTTTTAAAGACTTGCATCAAATTGGTAACAATTTCATAATTAAATGCTTCTGAGAAATATCAGTTGACTTCCTGGGATTTTGTGAAGGTCTTTAAAAATAATATGTGGAAAGGACCCAATTAGTCAGGCAATACCAGTTATCCAGCTGGTAAAGAAACGCATTCCTGGCAGTCACCAGGTTAAAGTTTGGACAGCACTACAGCTGGGGCTGAGGGCAGCTCTTAGTGCTGCAGCATGTCCAGAGGGGCCAAGAAAGTCCCAGAAACTATTCTGCAAAAGCCTTTCCCCATCCTGACTTTTCTTCTCAGGTTTGTGGACTAAATGTCTAACCTTTGCTTTTAGAAACACACACTCACAGTGCAAATCAGCTGACAACTGCACAATTAGTTCTCACATTATTGTTGAAAGTAGGAGAGATCTTACAGGGGGGAAAAAAATCACTACATTTAGTTGAAGTTATTTTATTCAAAAGTGCAGTATAGTCCTGGACAGATTTTCCACAGGATCTGTAGCTAGAGAAAGATGGCGTGGGACATCATCATCATCACAGCTACATTTCCTGAAGTTATGAGGCTGGAGTCCTCGCCTACAAAATGGAAATCCACTTCTCTACCCAAAGGGAGCAGAACAGAGAAGGGAGTTGTGGAAATACAGCAGTCCCAGGTGGTGGGCTGTTAATCCATTAATATCACTGTCCTCATCTGACAGAGGCACAGAAAGGTAAATTCCAAAGCCAGCCAGCACTGAGAGAGAGACAAGAACTAAACCCCCAGGAACACCAAACCAATGAACAACACATTTGTAAGCAAGGTCAGGAGTGAATAATGTGATAAAGAAAAATTCTCTTTTTAAAGTATTTATCTCAGAATAATACAAAGCTTTGGAGTTGATCTCTATTCTGGTAGATATTAAGAGGGAGAAGAAAGATTGTATCTGTCACTGTTCTTTAACAAAAGTATGTGGAGTTACCTTACTTTGGGGACAATTGCCACTACACTACTAAAAACAGTCTCTTTCACTACTACGTATTGGGTAGGGAGGAATGGGATTGCTGCATCTACAGAAGGGATGCAGAATAGCAGCACGGCAAGTCTTCTCCATGCTCTTTGCTAACTTGGTGCGAGATAGAGCAAGGCAGCGAATGCTCTAATTTTCCATTCAGCTATTAAAAGTCCCTCAGATCAAATAAATTCAAACAGCAGCTGTCAAACTATTCCCCTTCAGCTGCCCTAAAGATAAGATGAACTTGTATATAAAAATAAAACAAAAATCCTCTTTCACAGCTCCATGCAACTTCCACAATTTGGTTCTCCCAGTGGTCTGAAGTCCTGCTGTTCAGACCCTCAGCCTGAAATAAACCCACCTAACAGATGAGAAATTTTATCTTGGTGAATCCACACCTCCTAGAAGAAGCCACCCTCACTCAGAGTCCATACTTGTTGGAGGGCAGAGGGTCATGAGGGTGGTTGGGGGCATAGTGCAGCTGCTGGGGTGAACAAGAGCACCCAGCTGGGACAAGGGGGGTTTGATGGCTTTCCAGCTGTGCAAACAAACTGCAGCCCAGGTTCACCAAGCTTCTGAACATGGGCTGGAGTCTAAGGCAAGTATTTTTCCATAGCACTCTCTCTACCAGGTAAAAGAACTACAATTTAGACAGTGTCCTACAAAACTGTTAGCTCTCTCTGCCAGAATCTGCTATTCCTCTCCTAATGCCTGCAGAATACAAGGAATGAGATTTAATTTTGTGGTGTTTTTTTTTACTTTTTGAGATTGTATTTTGTTAAAAACAGTCCATGAGACAGGAAAAACAGATGTAACATTTTGAAGGAAAAAAGAGGAAATGGGACAATCATATATAAACCAGCTGTTTGACAGATTCAATTTCATATACAAAAGGAAAGGGTATCCTCTTACATGGCAACTTACTGTAAACTTCCTCATTGCAGATTCTGCTTTGCAACCTTCTAAATTAAATAGTCATATATATCTTTTCCTAATTACTGAGTAGCTCTTTTTGTAAACAGTAATTATAAAGAAGGCATTTATGTGCCCATTTATGTTCATAAAGGACACTAAAAAAAAAATCCATTTCCTGCCACTCAGTACAGATCTTTGTGAGAACTGTATTTATATAAGTTGTACTTTCCCAAAGGAAATGCTAGATGGGATATGACCTAATGTTCCTTAAGTACTGTAAAACTAATAACAGATTACAGAAATGATAGGAATATTTATTGAACTTGGGTGTCCATGAACACAAATGTGGACAGGTTGCTGAATTTGAAAGAGGGAAATGTCCTCTTTGCAAGCAATTTAAGCACTGTGATCATAAAGCTATGTATATTTTAATACCTTCACTATCTTCTATGGCCACTTCATAGCAATTCTACTATTTTCAAAATATATAGTTAAGCATCCCTGTAAATTCAGTCAGTTCAGAATTTATTGCTAGAATTCACTAGTCAGAAAGTGAGTTGTTTACTCATAAAATGGTGAGAAACAGCAAACTTTCTTTAAAATGGATTCTGTTTAAAATTTATGAGTCACATCAAAACCTTGTTTTCTAAATACAAAAATGTCAGCATTTCCTTCCAGCCTTTACAGTGCTGGTGGTAATCATCAGAAATGTTATCTGCTCAGAACGAGTTATACTTCTATTTTGATATCAGAATTTAAAGTAGAAAAAAAGGAGAAAGACACATCTACCTAAAGCATCTTTACATGACTGAGGGATGAAAGGGATTCTTTCATCATTTTTAAAATTTCAAGTTTATCAAAATTTTCCTTTCCAACAATTTTCTTAACAAATATCCTTTGAGGTAGATTCATCCCTCCGTACCACAGCAGTGCTGCTTCCATGACTGCCACCATGCGCGCAGCATCCCCACACGCTCCCCTTACCCGCTCAGCTGTACGGCTCTACTCTACATGCCACACACCTCAATCCAGCTCTCAAGGGCTTTGTAGGATGCTCACACCACCCTGCCAAGCACAGCCCCTGCCCACCACACATGCATTTCCACTCCCTGTGTCCCCATCTGGCCAGCCCTTGGGGACAACAGCTAAGGCTTCTCCTCCGGACCACGCAACCACCCTCTGCTCATGCACGACTGCGCCGGCGTTGTGTGCACCTGCTCTCACACGGCACAGACAGCCCCCACCACATAACTTCACGTCACATACAGATCCAACAAGACATTTAAAACACATAGATCACATTAAGGCTATGTGCTGCTCCCTGCTCCAAGCCCTTTGTTTTTCCCTTGTGCTGATGTTGTTTAACAGCTCATTATGCTTCCACTTCTCTCATGTTACGTACGTGTTTATACGGTGCCTCAAATCCACTTGAGCAATTTGCAAAGGCAAAAAGCATGGTGTCAAAGGATATATGATCATTCCTTCAGTACTTCCTTCAATGACTGTTTTTAAAGGCTATAAAGCAAATTTTTCTTCAGCACTTTTTAAAAAACTATTTTAAATTATGATTTTGTTTCTTTCTGAAACATTTTTAAATCTCACGTTAAATGCCACCAGCAGCTTATGTCAAAAACTTCCTTCTATTTGATTAAACCAGTTTTTACAAAGGTACAAGGTCTACGTTATAAACACTTTCTTAAAGGACATTAGCAGTGAGCCTATTTATTTACTAAAATCTGCTCCATTAGATTTTATAAATTCTTTTATTTCTCGTTCAATTCAAAAAGTGTGACATTTTGGCTGAGAAGGCAGGGGAAGAATATAGCAAGCAACTGCATAAAAAATAATTTAGTTTTGGTTCCATTTAATGAAACATTTTATTTAAAAAGCACTGTGTAAAAATAAATAAATAAACAATTTAAATACATTTTCTGTGATTTTTTTTTTTTTTATTTCTCTTTTTCATTTTCACAATGTGTACGTGGAAAAATAACGAGCTGGAACTATAGTATGCCTGGGACTCAGTAAATGAGCCATGCTCAATTGCTACTGAATATACTTGTAACCTCTAGGATGAACTGTAAACACTGCAAGGATTAGGCACTTCAAGTGAACTACAGAAAGAAAAATAATTAAAAATCTATTACAGTAACTAGGGCTGGTGAATTCTACACTCCTTTTCAGCCAATACTATCAAGTCTAACTTTGACTGTAACAGAGTTTGTTTTTATTTTTTTCTAAAGTAAATATATCCTGAAGTTTTCTGGCTTCTAGAGTTCATTAAAACATAGTTCACCACACATTTGAAGCATCTCTTTCTTAGAACCAGATGATTTTTAAGCCAAACTACAGTAAGTGGTTTGTTTAGTAACCACATCCATCTTCAGTAACGGGAGAAATCCAGTGTTTATATACAAAACCTGGTTAAAGGCACACAAGATAAATAAAATAAAAGCACAGTAAAAGGTGTTTTTCCTTTTTTCCAGCCACTAAGCTTGCTGAGTACAAAATATGTAACTGCTTAGTCCAGATGGTTACAGTCATGCTCTTTCACCCAAGCTGTCTGACTTGTCTCTTTTTTGGAATTTAATCCAGGTGTTATACAGAGAGAACAACTACACTCTCTTAATACCACCCTCTATTAATACAACCAAAACCACCATGCGCTTTTAAACCTAAGCATCATATTTTACTAAAACACACAGGTTTTACATCATTCTAATCACATCCCATTCCAATAGGCAGGCTAATAAGAAAATAAAAAATAATTTAGGATAATTTTGAGTTTGATCTGTACCTTTTTATGCGACTAATGCTCAGGGGTAAAGGCAGTTCCTAAGCACTGATTCTTTCCATAACCATTAACACAATTTATACATTCACACTCTGATGGCTTTAATCCTTCAAAACACTCATACATTTTAATTTTGTGTACTTGTTCTCAGTTCGGAAAGCTGCAATTCTGTGGTCATATTCTGCAACATTTTAAGAGCTAAAAGATTTATGTTTTAATAAAAAATATAATTTTATCACTTGATTACTTACAGCAGCTTTTCAGTATTCCTAATTTGAGCTAAGTAATGCTATAGTGTCCTCTGGATCTAGCCTAATTAAAATAGCATTCCAAAGGTCAAAAGCTAATTTATATTAATAAATCATAAAGGTTCATAATTGCAGCTGGTGCATTATTTTAATTACTAATAAAAAATATGCTTTGAAAACTACCTCTCATTATCATTGTGTGAAACGTTAAAATTGATGGTATGTGGAAAAAGATTCTATTTACATATTCTTTTGTTCTGTTAGATGCTCAGGTTTCAGCTCCAAAGGCAAATCAACTTGCACTAATAATCTTCAGCTCCACTCAAAACACGTATGTGATGACCACTTAAGGCAAAGGTAGCAGTTTTCTAATTAATATAATTATTTCCAAGCACTGCGTTAGCACTGTAATAGCCAAACATTCGACTTTTCTACATCATCTCTCTGTACATTAGAGTTTGAAGCTAGGAGGAGATTTTCCAAGATTTTTTTGAAAGGATAAAAAAGCCAAACAACTGTGAATATGTGTTCAAAGTGTAGAAACAGGTGTCTACCTATAGTCACATGTATGACCTGCTTGAAGATACTACCCTTGATACTTATCTCCATAGAGAATTTTCTTTTTCTGTACAACTTGATTATTCACAACAATAGAAAGCAGCCATGCAAGTACTGGAATATTCATGTTTTCATGCAATGTGACTGGCAGTTCTGTAATTGTGGTAAGCTGCTTTGACCAAGGTTTCTATAGCAACAGCCTTACTGTCAATTCTTACCTGTTTTCTGGTCATCCATTGTACTGAGCTTAGTCTCGTCAGCTACTGTTAAAAGGTAAATGCATAACGGTTAGCCCAGTTAGTGCCCATGCCCCACATGCATCCAACATTCCTTCTGTTTTGCATATTGGGTTTTCAAGTTAGGGAACCTTAGCAATGTCATCCTTCATGCAAATAAACTGCAACAGTAAGCAAACATTCTGAGTAGAAATGGCAGCAAACAAGTAACCTTCATGCAATGTCAGTCATGTTCACATCACAGGCAGGTACAATATGTTATTTACACGTTAGCACATCACAACTAGTCAAGACAAGTCAATACCACCAACCTTACTGTCCCCTGAGGAAGTTGGTGAATTCAGGATTGTAGTTCAGATATTCACAATTATTGCAAGGGAGCGAATCATATTAAATTTTATTATTCTGTGTAGG